TGTGAAGTCATGGTATGCATATTCTTTTGGCACTTATCTACACATCACTTTGTTCTGAGACTTGAAAAGATTGGTCTCTTGAATATATATTTTTCCAACCATTGTTTTATACTCAGTCCAGTTGCATTTACTTTTTCCTCCCATTGTTTGTCACTTTGTGCCTCATTTCTCTAGAAACGGTTTCTGGTAACTTTTAACATGTGCTTTCTCTTTTATTAGTATCATTGAGTAATACTTATTGGTGGAAATAGTTTCATGAAATTAATTTCAGTAAAATTCAATTGAATATACTCCAAGTACAGTAAGTTTTTGGAGGATTTGGGCTTAAATTATTTTAAAACATCAAATTACTTAATTTTTCACTGGTAATAGTGCTGAGCTTGTTTGTGCACGTAGACATGACAGATGTCTGTTTCTAATCTCTTTGAAGTTAAGTTTACCTCTAGGGGAACACTAGTAAAGTGTAGTTTGGCTATAGCCTGTTCTAAAACATGCTTTCTCCCAGACTACAAAAGTATAAAATCCCTTTATCATCATGTTCTTTGGCATGTTTTCTAGCATGATGGATCTTCTTAGTGTATGAGAAGGGTTGTCTGCAGTTAATAAACAGTTGTAGACCACATCAGGATGTAATTGCATATATATCTCAAGATTCTGGTGTTGACGTCTGCATCTTCAACTACTTGCCTTCCAGTCGGCCCAAAGATTACCAGTTAACATAAGATTCTCAGTTTGGCTGACTAAGACTTGTCTGAAGTGATGTAAAGTGTTCACAAAAGTGTTTTACGGCGCTTGCTTTATTGAAGAATGTTTAAGTTAAGCCTCTGTCATTTGACACTTTAATGGTATTTGGACAAATCAATAAATTGGATGTGGGTACATATATATATATATATATACATACACATATATGTATTCAGTTATTTCCAATCTGACTAGTTGATAAAGAAGAACAATAAATTTAAGGTGGGGAGAGGGAGCCCTTCAGCAATGCAGAACTAACCATTACAAATGTACAGAAACTTGAATTACGAATGGCTGTCAGAATGTTTTAGAAAAATCTTTGCCATGGTGTTTGAGATAATCACAGAGACTTCAAAATTTTGAAGCTAGACTAAACTTTTCAGGGTCAGACTTAAGGGTAACAAGCTATTCAGCAAATGCTGGCATAATCTTCCTGGATATAGGGCATACGAAGCTAGTGAGAGAACATAGTAGATGGGAAGACAGTTTTGAAGAACTTTACCCTTTTGCGTCTGTACTGCTCTAGAGATAGCCAAGGTACCTTAATAAACTAGAAATGAAAGAGGCAATGTAATAGTGAGGATGTGCTAATCTTTTTTGATACAAACTTGAAATGATCCTGCAAGAGTCTGCAGGAGGTATTCCACTGCATGATAGTGTCTTGCATCATTTAAGATCATTTTAGTTAGTTGTTACTGAGATATAAAGCTTCTTTTGATGCCTCCTTTTCTTCTAACTTACGGAACTTCATGGACTTGAATTTGGAGTTTTCTGTCCCATTTTTGATCCTCCTTGTCTGCTGGGGGACCTCCCTCTTCTTGTCTGCTTCGCTTTCTTCATGCTTTGAACTCCTCCCGTTACTCAGGTGCAAAGGGCTTATTACTGAGAACTTGCTGGTAAGGTCTCGCAGATGCACATTTTCACCCTTGCTCAGATGACTTCCATTAGGAAAGTACAGATATTTCCTCCTCGTCTGGTAGTTGCATACAGGAATTGTGACCAGCAGTCAGAAAACAATTTTGTATGTGTATGCGTATGCTTACACACAAACACGTATACAGTCCTCTGTGTAAGGGTGTAGCAACTCATCACTTCTCCCAGTGACTTCTATGACGGTTTAGTTAACTGGTAGGCAGGATTGAGGCCAAGTAAGCTAGTCAGAAATTTGAGTTCTCAAACCAGAGGAGTCATTGCAAAACTAAGGACTGCCAAGCAATTTGTTAGACTGAACTGAACGTAGAAATAGGCTTTAATATATACTGAGGATGTAGAAGTCTGACAGCTGTGTGACTTGCTCTTCTCCAGCAGAAGGTTGCGGGGTTGTTTTTTGCAGGATGGAAGAAACAAACAGATAACTGCAGGACTGGCCTTTACTAACTAGGACCTTAATTACCAATAGCATGTAGTTGGAAAACGCTGTTATTTACACAAATTGATGAAAAAGTTGTAAACGTTGTTTCAGAATCAGTGAAACTAGAGCAGTGCTTTACTTGTCTGCTCTAAAGCTGTGCTGTGTCTGGGCAGGTGTAGTGTCATCTTAGACTTCTTACACAGGTGGAAGAATTCAGCTTACTTCTCAGATTCTGAAGCTCCCCGTTAAATTTTCCTTATCTTTTAGTTTAGGCTTTTGATTTTCATCTGTTTGGGTTTTCTTGAAGTCTTTCCCAATATGCAAGTCCTTGAGAATATCTTGTAAATATTTAGAGATTTTGAGTAACAAAGGCAGCTTTATTAGGATTGGCAAAAGAAAAGTCGTAAATGTCTTGCATGTTACTATTTCTAGCTAAGAACATACTCAATAGGAAGGTCCAATTTGACATCAGTTTAGTATAACTGTACTCTCCTAATCTCTTCCCCTTAATGTCTGATCTGCTGCCATGTACCTGCTGTCCTCCTCCTATGGTTTATTCTCAGCTGCTATATGTAATTTTGTCTGTTTTCGGGTCTGGATGTCAAGTCACCTGCTGCCCCGAGTGCCTGCCTTCAGCCAGCCCCTCCAGCCATGGCTTCTGCCCTGCCACTAATCTTAGGTTCTGGCTAGTGGCTTTGTACAGTTGCCTGTAACTGCGTGCTAACCATGCATGCACAAACAAAACATGTTTTAAAGTGCTCATGGGCAGTCTTAACCCCTCTGCCCCCCCTCTTTTTTCTTTTTACTGTTTATGCTCTGTAAAAAAAATAATAAATAGTAGAAACAAAAGCAGTTTTCTTAAAAGCACTGACTTTTAGTCTAGCTATGGTTTTTTTGAAGGAGGAATTTTGGTCGTCTTGATGAAATGTGGGTATATTTTCAGCAAGAATTTCCCCTAATATTTGTGTTCTGAATTTGGATATGGGTCATAGCTGCTGTTAAGAAATGGATAGCTGCTTGGAAGACTTGGCTGCTTGTGTGAAATGGTTTCAACAGTTCCTGAGTAGCCAGACAAGTTATGCGAGAACTGCAATTGGACATAGCATTTTATTTTATGTTTCAACATAGTAAACCAATATTTCTTAGCTGGTTTAGCTTTTGGGAGTATGATAAAGGATAAAGCAAAAGTATATTATTTCTCTGTTGTTGTTTGTTAGTAAACGTTTATTGTTTCTAGAATAGTGAAAGGAGGTTAGAGGGTGTCCTCAGGTACGTTTCTTGTAGGTGTTTGTAGGCAATACAAACTTCTGTTACTACTTCTAAGTCAACAAATCATATAGGTTCTCTCTTACTCATACATGTAGTTTCACATGCATTTTGCATCACAAAATCTAATTGTTCAGGATTTTCATGGCCACCTGCCCTATTATTATCACATGTAGCAGTGAATATGTTGCATATGATGAACGGTTTTCATCTAATGTGTCTATAATACCTGCCAATCAGGAAAGTGTTAGTGAGATTTCAAAAAATGTAGAGGGACTGCCTAGCATGAGAAAGTGAATTCTTTTCGTTTTGGAATCAATCAGTTCAATGTAGTGTACAACACAGGACGTGATGATCCAAAATGCTGTAGGAAACAAAATAATTCCATTCAGGTTTTAGGTGCTAAAATAGAGCGCTCGTGTGTTCTGGTCAATCTACTGAGGTTTTATGGTGTTATTTCTGTTTTTCCTGAATGTTTTTCTTCAGCATGAGGTCACAAGAGAAGTAGATAGCTGATACCACTTACTTTTCTTGACCCATGTAAGCCCAGGTGCCTGTAAAACAAGTGTGGTTGTAGACTGAGGAACAGGATGGCTGATGAAGTTACCCTCTATGCTGCCCTGTTGCACAGATGTTAGAGCTCGGTTTTAGCCAACTCCTGAAGCACTGTAGCTTGTAGAGTGGGGTTGAAGGGAACTGCCACCAGGTTGTTTGCCATGCTGTAAACAGTGGCAAACTGTGGCTCAGGAGATGGTGATTGACAAATAACTCAAATATTTGTGGGAGTGACATGCTTGTCAGCTGTCTCAGCATAGATTGTCCAGGTTTGTAATACCATGTGTTAAAGGCAGTTAATGCTTGTTTCCATTTAAAAAAAAAATGAAAAAATCGTCTAATAGTGAACACGCCTTTTTTTTCCACACTTAAAAGTTGTGGACTCAATACTGCAGCTGACTAATGCCATCCTGTGCCTTCTGTTTTTCGCATTGATGTATGTGTTGGCTTGTGTTGCTGTAAAATTAATTGAATCAAATACACTGCTTTGACACTATTAGCACTCTTTCATGTGCTTATTTGCAGTTATTTAAAAAAAAAATGAAAATTACAGCAAAAGGCAGTGTGGTCTTAGGCTGAATTTCAAGTGACCTTTAGAAGAGCTGGTGCTGTTATTTCCTGGCTGTAGGGTAACATTTTATTTCTAAGGGAAATGTATCCCAGCGATGACTCTGAATACAAGTTACCTTCTTTAGGGCTTTGTCCTGAGCACAGAATCTCGTTTGTGCAAGTTTATGTCCGGCCATCTGTATTGTGGATTTATGCTAGTGAAGGATTGAGTAGATGTTCAGGAAGTTATTTTATTCAGAACTTGAGGTTAAATTTTGCAGTAAAATGAAGATATATCAATTGGACTAAGAAAAAAGTTGTAAGGGATTTTTATCTTGAAAAGATACATACAGTTTGGCGAGCTTTGGTATACTTTTGACTAAACAGTCAGTATGTAACATGCCAAACCTTATTTCAAGAGCCAGCTTGTCTTTATGACTTGGCTACTTGAGGAGAGCTGAGTCTGTGACAGAGGACGGAGAGCGAGGAAACCCATGGTGTACTCCAGAGTGCTGGAAGAGGGGATCTGGAGTTCATGGTGGCGTTTGCTGCCAACAGCCCGTGCCTGGCTGGCGTGTGCCGCTCTGAGGGGAGGCTGCCTGGGCCTACCTGCTGCACAGCTGTTCCTGAACCGCGGAGGAAGCTCCTTGCTTCACCCGCCGGGCAGCGTGTGCGGGACGTGTCCCTGCCCTGCGTGGTGGGGTGGGAGGCAGTGGCAGCTGAGGAGAGGGCTGCTCTCTTCAGGGGCTGGGGCCGCTGGGGGGTCGTGGCAGAGCTGGGGTGGGCACAGGCCCTCCCGGTGTCTCCCAGAGGAGGTGCTGCAGGCCTGGGGCGCGCTGCTGCCCGGGCCCGAGCTGTGGTGGTGGAGGATGTCCATGAAGTGCCTCTGGGACTGCGGTGTGACTTTTAAAAACAAAATAACACACACCCCCCCACACCCCAGTGTAAACAACTCTTCTCACCCCTGTCTGTGAAACAACAACACACAAAAAAATCGTCTTCCATTCCCGCTCAATTTCTTGTTGGTTGTTTTTTTTCTTTTTTTTCTTTTTTTTTTTTTTTCTGTGCAGTTGGAGGGAATAAGAGCCATGATACAAGACAAGAGGATTAGTTGACTTTTGTAACAATGGCTGTAACTTAAATCCATGTTTTGAAAGGAGGAAAGAAAAACGAATGTCTGGCTGAAAGCTTTCAAGTGCGTGCATGATTTCTTACTTTGCCTTCTCTCTTTCTTGCATGGTGACACTTCAGTAAAATACTCAGCATAATACTTTGGATAAACTATTATTAAATTTATCAGAATGTTTAATTCTTTTCTAGTTACACTGTTACTCATTTTTAAATTGCCTGGTATTTTTCAGGTCCGTAATGTGAATTAATACAGTTTCCTAGCCTGTAATTCACATTTGTCAGGCAAAACCATCTATCCCATTAGATGGCTGTTCAGACTGAGATCAGATTCAAGAGAATGTTTTTCCTAGCTGTCTGTTGAGGAGTATCAAATTTTATTAGACATTTTCTGCCTCTGCTGTTGGACCTGACCAAAATCGGGAACAAAAATAAACGCACTGTTGGCAGTTGCTGTTCTTACATCCTTCCTTCTGTCTCCCCTACAAATGGTGGCTTTTCTTCAGAACTTGGTGGTTCTTTTTCATAATTCACCTTCATAGTTAGTGCTTTCCTCTTCATCCAGGCCCACTTCGGAAGATAAGGTGACCCTGGATGTAATTTAGGCATCTAGATGTTGTCTTGAGAGATGGCAGCTGCTTTGCAGCGGCGTTTCTACTTTGGAAACACCTTTTTGATTTCCTGTTCAAGATCTTGCAAAAACAGGCTCTGTTTGTCTTAATTTAGTTCTTCCCAGGGGAAGTTTTGCTCAATTAGAACTAGGGATTTCAAGCCGCCAGGGCCCTCTGATGTGGCATCAGGGCAATGGGAAGACTGAGGATCTTATCTAATATTTTCTGATGCCTTGTGATTTTGGTGATCTGGTTCTGGTTTTGAAAATCCATGATAAGGGAATTGCTGCCCCATGCTATCAGTCAAACTGTGTTTTGGAGAGTTGAAGTATGCTTTTTCTTTGAACCCAGTAGTGTTCCTTTATTATTTAAAGGTTGAGGTTTTCTGTGGGTTTTTTGGGGTCTGAAATTAGATTCTGTTAACAAGGTATACAAAAGCTGAGAGCAGTTTTGCAGTAACTTATCTAAAATGGTATTTAACCATTACCTTTTGCCATCTTCTTTCCTGCCTACCCACTCCCCGCCATGAACTGATGCATTCAAGAAGTGTCTGTGTTGCTGCTGCATGTTCAGAAAGCTGTAGTAATGTATTCTGGAATACTTCTGTGTATGGGTAATGGATAAAGATACGAAATAAGTATGCAAAGAGAAGGAAGAACAATTCTTAGTCAGAAATAGTTTTATTCAACTGTTCAGTTTTATTTTGTAGTTTGATTTCTGTATTCTGTTTAGCTTGATAATTGATGCAGAGAAAATATTAATAAAACTTGGATTTTCAGAGATGTCTGTTTTACTACATGCAAATACCAGACTCCTATTTCTTCTTAACAAAAACATTTAATTTGGGCAGAGTTGGAGGTGGCAGATCCAAGGTGCATGACAGTACTCAGAGATTTTTCTCTCAGCTTGGTGTGCAGGATTTGGGTTATGGAAGCTTTCTTAGATGTTTCTGTATTTGCTTTTGAAGGGTTTCAGAGTCAGAAAAGATTGGGTGCCTAATGACTGAAGAGCATTGTTACTTTTGGAAAGGATAAAAATTCCAAGATAACGAAGAATCAGCAAATCAGTTAACCTGAAGTTATGATTGGCTCTTTGTATGCAAAATTGGCCCCTGTGGGCAGCTGTCACTTGTACCTGAGCTGTAGATCCAGTGTCCAAAACCAGTTAATGTTGTAAACTGGTCCCAGGGGAATTCTGTCTTCAGGTGGAAGTTCAGAACCTTCTTATTAGTGTCTACCAGTTGTTGTGGGAGGGACAGGAGATGATCACTGGTGATAGATAAAATGCCTTAGTTATTTTTTACTACTGTGAATAGCATAGTTCAGGGCAGCTCTGTTTTTTATTTAATTAAAGATGGCAGCATTTTTATTCTGTCTTTATCTGTCTTCATAATGCTTCAGAAAGATTTTTGTCTTTAATACTTTGAAATGTTTTAACAGATGTACTTTTATCTTGTACAATTCTTTATATAGAAGCAGAAAAGACCTCTCCTATTTTACAGTGCTTAAGATAATTAAAAAAAAAAAAGCCCCAGAGGATAAAGCAGTATTTCCAGAAGATACTTAATTTCAGCAGTCTACTCCTGTAATTTGTGGCTGACCTCCAATATCCATATCTGCACCGGTTTCATTTTGTCTTTGTTATTCTGGAAACCCTGAGTTTCCCTAACTGGAAAAAAATAATCTTGTCCCGAGAGTTGTGCTGGTTAAACCAGAAATGTATTTTTTTCAGTTGACATAGTTAACCCAGTGCAAAACACAGGGAGAAACTTCTAGTTCTTAGTTTATTTAAGCTTTGCATGTTTTGACCTAGATGAACTGACTGAAGAATGTTCAAGCTGCATAGATATACATGTGACTGAATTGAGAATCAATGTGATGTTATGCTTTGTCTGAAGGGAATCCAATTTGGAACAACTTTGAATGTAGTTTAAAATGAGCAACATCAAGTTGTTAGTGGTCTGAATATCTAGAAGACAGCTTTTCATGTGTTCTTTTTCTTACAAGGTTTCCTTCAAAACTATTAGTTAAACTGGTCATGCACGCTTTATAACACTGGAATGAAACCCAGTTAGACCAGATGCATTGGCTTTCTTCAGTCTCCCTTTTCCAGAAAGTGAGTGTTGTCCTTGTCCTGGAAGTCTAAGCCTTGGTGGGATCAGGGAGAGCATTGAATTAAAGTTCTTGTAGTGTGAAAGGTTAGAGTATGATGTGCAGGTTTTATTTATGAATAAAGGGTGAGGGTGTGTTTGTATAACAGGCAAGCATGTCTCATAACTCATTCCAAAGAAAATCTTGTCTATAGTGTGGTAATCTAGGAGCTGATGTCTAGACTAGTTTGAGAAATTGTAAACATGATGTCTTCAGAACAAAAACATGAGAGTTTAAGAAAAAATGCTGCACATTATATTTTTAATATTTGACTGAATTCCAGGGAGATCAGAAGTATTTTGGCAATATTTGGTCTTCCTGACTGCTAGGTGAATTACTGAAAGAATGGATATACCAGTCCATAGTAACATTTTCTTTCTTGAATACAGTGGTTTTGGATTTGCATGATTACACGATACAAACTATGTATTTGTCAGTAATGGAAAATTTTTACTTTGAACAGTGATGCACAAGTTTGTGTACATCTTCATCATATTAAACTGTTTATACATGTTTGAGAATCCATAGCATATGATCAAGCTCTTTATTATTTGACCTAAATAACGTGATCTTTGTACTGTTGTACAGAGCTGTACAAAGGTTACATTTAAGCTAGTAAGGATATATTTATTATTATTATTCTACTGCAGTTAATTTCAAACACTTTAATCTCAGGAATACTAAAATATTATTAGGAGGCAGAGAAATGCCGTTTTTCTGATTGCTGTGTGCGAAGTTACGTGCTTTTTATTAGTGGTTGAATGATGCTCTTACTGAACCATTGAAACAGCTAGAATGTAGCCATAGTGGTATTTCCATCATTTGAAGTCTTTACTATTGGGTTCTTCTGGTTGGTTTTGTTTTGGGGTGAGGAAGGACTTCTAGTTCAAAGACAGGCATGTTTTAGCTCAGACGAAGTTACTGTTTTATACAGGTGTTATCAGATGATGTGCAATTACCAGTCCCAATGATGTGTCTATTCTGCAGTGTATTTGTAAGCATAGTCCAAATCTGGTGTTAGGAAACCTTAATTGGGTATTATTACATACAAACAGAATTTTCATTTTACGCCAAACGGTGTTATGCAGTAGGTTATGCCAAACTTAAGTCAGTCCCTAAATTAAGGCATGTATTTAATCTTTGCAAAGCTGTCATCATTCTGGGTATTAGAAATGCCTCAATGAATAAATGTTGAAGCTGTTGGATCTATACCCCGTGCATAATTGACATGACTATACGAATAGCTTTTCTGTAAAAGAATTTTATGGCAGCTTTTAGAGGAAAACATTATCTTAGGGGTTAAGTAATGATTAAAATGATGATTTGGGAAATAGACGTGATTCAACTGAATGTTAAGGATTTTTTTATTTGAATCATTAGTTTTTCCTAGATTTTTTATATACCTTGATGTTCTAGAACAGTGTTGGTTTAGAATCTTTGTAGAATATGTAAGCCAGTATTTTCAACATTCCTGCCAATACTGAAATGGCTGTTTTGGTTTTCTGTTACCCAGTGGTCTATCAAGAGTTTGCTTAGGAAGGTGTGTGATATTTTAAGCTGCTAGATGGTAATGCTGTTACTTATTAGTTACTGTTTTTGCTCTAATGGCTTCAGAATTCTTTAGAGACATTTGTTTGTCCCTTTTCTTTTTGAGGGAAAGGAAGTAATTTGGATGGGTCTGGACCAACAGAATATCATTAATAGTTGGAAATGTGTAACTGCAAAGAGAAATCAATTATGTAGTGCTTTCTTAAAATTTTATTTCATTTTTTTTTAAGGACAAACAATTATACTGCTTTGACACCTTAAAGAAGTTAAAGCCTATAACGCTTCTAGTAATTTTTAGCAGCAGTGAACTCCAGCTTCATGTTTGTGTTTTTTGCAATATGGGAGAAAAACTGGCGGGACTGCATGCCATTGTAATTAAACTGTTAAACATAGAAACTTGAAGGGAGAAGCTTGTCTTACCTGTTTGGGAAGTATCTGTCAGCATATTTAAATGAAATTTTATTTTGAAACTGTATGTTTGTAATTATTAGCACATTCCTAAGCAGCATAACTAGTTTGTGATCAAATGATGGAGGTGTCTTCAAAACATGTAGTAACCTTCATTGCACTGTAAAGTCTGCACCTTTTGTATTTATTTGTCTTATTTTTATTTTTACAGGATTACAAAGCCATTGACATTTGCTGACTGTGTTGGTGATGAGCTTCCTTTAGGATGGGAAACTGTTTACGATCAACAGATTGGAGTTTATTATATGGACCACATAAATCGTGAGTAGATGTATGATTATTTTGAGGAATTCTAGCTGGCTGGTGCTAACTCATGGCACTAACTTTTGTGCACCTTACACTACAGTGAGAAAATGTATATAGATAATTTCTTGCAGTATGTATTTTCTCGTCTTTCAAGTGGGGGCACAATCCTTCTTCCATTTGTAAAGAATTTTACAACCTATGATTGAGTTATAGTGTATAAAACTATTTTGTTTTGCTTTGTCATACTGTCGAGTATCAGTAATTTTGTTGTTGTTTTTTGTTATATGTCAATTAAGAAGATTTTCATGCTATGCTCTTGTATTTCCTATTTTTCCAGCCATCCATAGTTCACTCTTCTATATTGGAAGACAAAATACATTCTGATAAAAAAAGTGCTGATTTTTAATTAGAAGCACTATGAAATACAATAATCTTATCCTCTCTTAAGCAACGTATGTTTTATGCTTTAATACAGTACAAAGTCCTGTCAAAAAGACAACACAACACACCACTGTCTGGCACATTTACCAGTTCTACTTTTAAAAAAATGTTTTATCTTTAGACCTTTGTACTACTGCTGCTGTTGTGCTGCTGTCATTAATCATCTTACCACCAATGAGTGAATGCTTTCAATATTGTGGGAATTGGCAGTTGGTGGGGAGGGAGGAAAGAATAAAGTAGTTGTATGGGCTATCACGATGGTGTAAATAGTATAATCTGCAAAAACAACCTCAATACTATCTACTTGAAATCTAGTCAATTAAAAAATAAAAGCGTAGAAATAGTTTTTGGCTTCCTTCTGTCATTGGAATTACTTGTATATTGTGGTTTCACAATTACTTATTTAAAAAGTAATAACAGAATAACAAATGTTCCCATGATATTATTTGACCCACACAGGTACTTACTTGTTGTGGAATTAACAAAGATCACAAATTAAATAATAAACTTTAAAGAGCTGTTAATGCACTGATCACAAGGATAGATAGCTGAGACAATTGAAAAGCAATAAATACAGACTGTTAGGTAATTCTTACAATAACTCTGTTTAAAAGAAGCAGTAGCTTAATGATTGCTGTTTAAACTGTCATAGTAACTTTAGTCAATGTTGAAGTTTAATAAAAGGTGAGGCTTACATCGCAGGACAGTAATGGAGTGCACTTATACCAACATAGGTACACGTGCATGAATGCAAGGTTGTTGACAGCTCTTCTTTTTTTACCTGAAATTCGTAAAAGGCTTTAGGAGTCCCTATAGATAATGAGTAGAACATGAACTCCCTTTGCAATGCTGTGACTAAAAAAAGCTACTGAAGCATTTTACTGATCAGCGTCTTTGATAGGACTAACAATCACCATCGCATGCAAAAGAAATCACTCCGTTTTGCTTTTCAGACTTTGTTATTAGCTGCTTTACCACAGACATCAAGTTTGAACTTACAGAAAGGATATTAATCATTATAGGCATGTCAGATCTGGCTTGCATTTTTTTCTGTGCAATTGAGAGCAAAAACTGTAGAAGAGAGTCTTTGCAGAGCACAATTGAATTCCAAGATGCTCAGTGGGAAGGCGCAGAAAGAGAAGATTAATATAAATGGGTCTGGGAAAGTAAAGCTAATCATATTAGGCATTAAATAAAGGCAATATATGAACAGAGGGATAGAAACTTCATAGGGCCAGTGCTGAACTGAGTGAAAGGAATCATTCTGCAATTAACAAGGTTGCAAAATTTGTCTCTTTCATGATAACTAATTACTTGCAGCCCACAGATATTATCCTAAATGGTAATTCAACCGTCATGGCAAAATGGGTTTGTCACCCTTAGGCTAATACAGTGCTTGCATATACAAGCAAGATTTATATTCAGAGGGAAGACAGAGTTGATATTATAGCTGGATAATCGTTATTCAAAAATTGGTAGGATATTCAGTCCAGTTTTTAAACTGCGGACAACAAAGGCACCAATCAAGACTACGTTAACCCCTTTGTAGAAGTGAGAACTAAGGAGTAGACAATCATATGCATCATGAGATGGTGTCAGGCAAGTGGCAGAGATGGTGTAGGAACTGAAGAAATGTTTTTCTGAAATGAGTCCTTTACATTGTATTCTGAACTATGTCTAAAATACTTGGAACTGCAACTTCCACGTGAAAACATTCGGACTGCCTTTTGTGGCTGACCGGGTTAAATGTTTTATACAGCATTGGAGTTCTGTGTTAATTGACAAAACAATTAGAAGTGCTTCAGTTTCAAGAAATACTGTGAGAAAATGCAAGGGATAATTCAAAGAAAGTCTTTCTAAAGTTATGCTTACCAGGGACCTCTCATGCTTTGTGCAGCGTCTCAAGCTTTTTGCCCTTGCACCTTTTAAAAGGAAACAGTAATACATCTGATTTTTTCCAAGCCTCTTGCTGTGTTTGTTTACCCAGAAAGTAATAAAAAGATTTCTAGGCAGTAACTTTACATTTACATTGAAAAATCCCAAGAACAGAGGAATCTTCTGTAAATCTCAATGGTGCTTCCAACCCTGATCTCCATCTTGTTCTGTAAATTCAGTACTTTGTTGACACCCTTACTAAGCTGCTCTTGGCTCTTGTCCAACTGTTGCTTAAAAACCTTGGTGGCTGCCAGCCGCAGAATTCCTTTCCCTCCTCCTCAGAGTCTTGAGAGCCTTTGAAGTCTCCTTTAACCAGCTGGGCATTCCCTAGTGAGGGAATAATATATTCTTTGCATTTGTCTGGGGCTGTTACTGAATTACTGTAGTGTATATATGTATTTTTTAATTGATTATAAGGAAATGAGGGAAGTGGATTTTGTCATACACCGTAGCTTTAGTTTTGTTGTTACATGACAAACTTGTGTAGAAATCCAGGGCAAAGTGAAGCCTCTGTACTTTCTAAAACAGAAAAGGTCACTACTGTACTGAAGAAGTTTTTTGCCTCAGAATAATGCTGCTAGCTTTTGAGAAGGCTTCTGAAATAGTTTGATAAGAGATGCAGCACCCTGTAGTACAGGACCTCAGAAACTTAACATGTGATACAAGATAACATTTTAGCCTTGGCTGTTTAGTGAGATTAGAACTATTAATTTCCTATTCAGAAAGAGACACACACTAGGATCCAGCTTTTCTGTTTTGTAAATATTTATTAATTTCTGCATAGTTTCCATAGGGGATTAGCGGTTTTAAGACTATTAAATTTGCACAGATTTCAGGAATACTTATGGACAGATGAGATAGCATTGCAAATTATCATGCCCTCAGTAAAGGATGGGCTGCGATGTGAACTCTGTTTTCTTCTGCTTGCCCTGCATGTAGAAAAGGATATATGGAGACTGGGACAAGCCACAGCATGTCCTGTCCTGGGCTGCAGAGGTACTTTGGGGGCATTGGAGCCAGAAGGTGGTGCTGAGAATCAGAGGTCTCTGGGATGTGAGGGGAAATTGCAGAACTATGAGCATGATCTTTATACTGTTGCAATGTGAGGAGTTGTGGGGAGAGAAAAGTTACAGCTGTTGAGAGAAAAGATTATTAGGAACCTAATATACAAATCTGTTGGAAGTACTGCTCATGGATGAGCTTTGTGTTTTTTGTTTATGTGCTTTTCAGATGGCTTTCAAATGGTAGAGCTGCTAGCATGGCCTTGACACCATTAGAGGTCTTAATGTGTTGGGCTCAATCTTTTATAATTTCTTATTTAATCACTGACATCAATATACTGAATTATGTACGCAAGATTAATACCAAATGTAACTGTCTTTCATCTCCTGTGAGAAACAAAGCCTGGAAAAAATGACTAGGTGCTTACCTTCTGATTGAACTGCAGGTTCTGCCACTACTTTGAACACTGACATTGCATCTGCAGGAACTTCTTGCCAGTAGAGCCTCAGTCATCAGAAGTTAACATTCATTTAAATGTGAGACTTGACACGCACGTTCTCATGTAAAACATATTTGCTAGCTTGAGCATCGCCACCAAAAGAAAACAAATTAGCCAATAATTTTTTAGGATTTTAGTGTGTCTGTCCTCCTCAAATGTCTTTGCAACTGCAAAGAGATTGCTGTATGGTAATAACCTTGAAAAATCCATTTATACAGGAAAGATTTTGTACTGGAAACCTATTTTTGATTTGTGTTTATTCTTCCTAATTACGCAGGTGTAGTCACTGACGTTCCAGGATGTTATACTTGTGAAGTTGGTTGTAGTATCCTAAGGTTGTTCCAAGTATTTATAGAGTTACGGGTTAAGCAGCGAGATACCATTCACTCTCCTGTGTGGTTCTGGGTTTTTAGGTGGTTCTCAGGATTTTCAGGTTGGCTATGAGGGAAGGTGAGAGCCAAAACACTGTTTTCTTTGGGTTTTTTCTAGTTTGTAAAGAAAAGACTCAAATTTAAATGCCTTTTCTATTTGAAAGGGCTTTTCCTATTCTTCCACTCTGAATCATTCCTTCTTCTCATCCAGATTGGAGTGATTTTGAGCACTGCGGTGCTAGGTGTGCTAGTTGAGAACAGACCTTAACAAAATAATTTGTACTTTGTGGGATAAAGTGTCTTACAAATTTTTTTGGCTTTTTATGCTTTTCTCCTTAGAGCTCACACAAATTGAGGACCCAAGGGAGCAATGGAGAAGGGAGCAGGAACGCATGCTAAAGGAATATTTAATAGTTGCCCAGGAGGCACTCAATGCCAAGAAAGAGATTTACCAAATAAAGCAGCAGCGTTTTGAACTTGCCCAAGAAGAATATCAACAATTGCACAAAATGTGTGAGGATGACAGCCGTTCTTATGCCAGCTGTAAGTTTACTAGTCTTTTCTTGATTTACCCACCTGCCTCTCACAACATGTCGTGTTAAGAAGTAGTGTGAAGTGTTTCCATCACCTGGTTCTCCTCTGAATGAAGATCCTGACTATAGAATGAAGATCCTGACTATAGAAGTGAGGTGCTATCCTTCGACTGTGCTATTCAGGGACTTCCATTTGCTGTTAGGTCTAGTAGAATATTCCTTTTTAACATTAAACAGGGATGTATCCCGGCTAGCATCTCTAGCCATCTCGGAGCCAGCCATAGTGATGCTTCTTGCAAGGCAACAAAGACAAGATTTAATGTTGCTGGTCCAGTGACATATTTGCACTCCTAAATTCATGGTTTATTCCACCCTTGACACGGAGGGGAACTATCAGCTTAGGGGAAGCCTTCTGCAGCTCCATGGTCGGTTTATCAACTTTATAAAAAGTGTGTTGTGGACAAGGTGTTGTGGTCAAGAGTACCTCTGACCATGAAATAGGAAGCAGTGTTTCATTAGTGCACCTCATTCTTGAATGCCAGCCTCTGATCCTAATGCTGGTGCTGTAGGTCGTAGAGCCTTGATTTCCTGCCCTTTTCATTCTTCAGGCGTCTCTGGTAGCTTGGAGTACGTGATACACTTTTTTCTGAAATCTGAAGTTGTTGCACTGCTGTCATGGCTGTTGGCTGGTACAACAGGAAAAGGTGTTTTTGCTGAAGATTCAAAGAAGTGTTTCAAATGGATATACCCACCAGCCATGTGGAAACGTAGTGGAGTTTCACTGCACTGTTGGCTTTTTGGTGGCTGCTGTGTGTACAGCCATTGTTTAACTACAGGATTTGCTGGTAAACACCAAGTACCTGATAGGTACGGGAAGCTCTGCTAAGCCCTTTCTGAAAAAATTCAAGAAACCTGACCATGGAGAGGGGGTTAAAGCAGACATCTGGATAGAAGTGTTTAGCGACTGATTCAGTAGTATTTATTAATCCAAGGTAATTCATATGTATACCAAAATCCTGAATAAAAGATGTTTTCTAGGGCTGAGGTGTCCCAGATGGTCTTGACCAAGTGTTCTTTTACTGTTGAACTGGGTTTATGTCATCTTTTTATTTAGTTTTAAATAGATGTATTCTATGATTTAGTTTGTGACATAACCGAACAGTTGTGACTAGTCTTATTTCTCCCTGTTGAAATTTCTTAAGAGTTATTAAGAAATATTAACTTTTTTTCCTTACTAAGAAAATTTTTTTTAAATCTAAAAAAATTTTTTTAAAAGAAATTATTGTTTAAGGAGTATTTAACTACTATTTAAAGACTTGGAAGAGGGTAAGAGATAATGTCATTGTATTTTTTTAGATTATAAAATCTAAATATACATTTATTACAATACTTTTCTGGGAGCTTGGACTTTTTGTTTTTTGAAGATTTGCAATAGTTCTGTGGGACATTGTGTTGAGTTACTTCAGGTGGATATACAGAAAGAACCTTGTGTTGAAGATGATAATATACTAGAAAAATATAACATGTTTTCCTATTTTAAAGCTCTTGGAAAAACAAGTTGCTTGAAACAGCAACAAAATATGACTGAAAATGATGAAATTGGAGGTTATCTATACATGAATGCAAATGCTATGTCAGTTGACTTTTATGTTTCTCAGTCTTCTGATAGGTTATTTTTTTTTAGGTTTATCTGTGGAATTGATAATGAGATACTGTAAAATCATTTAAATAAAACCTTTCACTTGTTTTGAGATGAAAAAATATTTTAATTTTCTACAGATGTGTTAATATAGTTTATATTGGTTTAAGGTCATATACATCTGTTTTGAGAAAATGGGATGGGCTGATTAGTCAGATGGTGCATTTAAAAAGAAATAAAATCCCTTTGGGGATTAATCATGCTGTCAACTCAAGATTCCCCAAGGCTTCTCCACTTGTTTTTCTTAATTTGACTCCTCTGCTCCGCTCTAGGATGCTTGCTTCTCCATTTATCGTACAGAAATTTTAGACTCCTAATTCAAGTGGAGTTAGATAGTCAAAGTTGGGTGGTTATGTTGCGAATATTCCTGCCTCCGCCACCACTTGTTTCGATCTGTTGCATTATAAGAATTAAAACTTCAGAAACTGTTTTCCTCCTCTTTGCTTGTGGGTGCTGCCATTGACTCAGTGTCGTGTGCTCATGAGTGGGAGGTGGCGTGAGCTCAGTGGTTGTGGGTTGGCAGGGAGGTGCCCATGCAGCAGTTTTGTGACTCAGTTGTGATCAGCACTGTTTTTAAAAAGGGGAGAAAAAAAATTCCATAGAAAATCCTGGATTTAGAGAATTAGTCCAGGCATGACTACTCATTTTGGCAAGTTCCTGCGTGCTCGACATGACCTTGGCGTTACGGTATTCTTTCGAGAGTCAAAAGGCGCAGTGCAACACAGACACGGATATGGGTTTCAAAGCAGCAGCCTTCAGGTCTAGGGCAGGGTGGTGGGTCTAACGGCACAACCCCATCCACTCACATACCAGTCATTTTTCAGTAGGCCAGTGCTGTTGTGGATGGCTCAATAAATCATGGTTCATCTTACCCAGCCTGTCCTCTAGGACCTTTACTTCATCTGTCTAGGCTTTAGCTTGTAATGCCACAGCTTGAAATCATTGCTTGACTCTAGATGCGCTGTGTTAAAGCTCACTTGCCAGAGGCTGATCTATATGTCGGTCCCCTACGCTGTTGCTTTAGGAGGCAACTTCTCTCCATGGCCAATTGAATTTTATTCTGACAATAGTTTCGTTACTTTAATCCCTAACGTACTGTTCATGCAACATACCTAGGAAGCAATTAGCAATTGTTAATATTAGACAGATTCCTTGCATCAGTTAATACCACCATCCTGTCACAGAAGCTAGTTCCTTTTAGGCAATGTGCAGTGCTGCTATATACAATTTTGTTGTTGTTCAGAACCAAAAAAAAAAATATTCAGGCAGGGCAAAGGTAATTCTTCAGTTGTACTTTAGCACGGAGGATTATTTTAAAATCTAGTGACTTGTAACACGAAGAATGAATGCAATGGTCTGTTAGATAGTGCCACATCTTAACAAGTGTATCAAAGAAGAAAAAAAAAAAGTAAAATACTGTTTTCCATCTGTTTAGCATTCTCTGGATTTTCAACTAATACCAAGTATGACCCATATCAGATTAAAGCAGAAATAGCCAGCCGTCGTGACAGAGTGAGTAATCTTTTTTCATTTTGTAAAAATATGAATTAGGCATGGGGAAGGGAGGAGGACTATGCATTTTTTTCTTTACCTTAGCATTTACACTAGATGTTGCATGCATTTTTGGAAATACAATGTTAAAAACTACTTTTCCACTCTGACCTATTGTTCTATTAAAAGGAGTCTATATTTACTGCATTTCAGTCAATTGCAAAGTAATACTTTTTCCATGTTACAAGCGTAAAGATTTTTGTCACAGATGTCAGAGGCAAAGTCAGCCAGGCTTTCAGAAATTGCTTTCTCTGTGCAAACTGCCACAACTAGTAAATACTCTGCAGCCAAATTCTTTCTTGATTAAGAGCAGTTCAAACCCACTGTCTTCATATTTTCCCACTTACCCATTTTCAGTGGGGTTCCATGGATGTCAGTGAACTCTAGATTTAGCCATTTATTTGGAAATCTGTTCACAATTCATAGACATGTTGGCCAAATAGAACTTTGTAGCTCATTTGGCCAGAGCTCCTCTATGAGAGGAGGGGAGTTTAAGCATTCTGACAGTGGTAGGCAGTTCTGTAATAAAAATGTTCCATTTTTCTATATATGTGATGTTTTTTTTTTAAACTAGAATCATGCTTTTGGTACTGTCTTTGCTGAAAGAAGAATAGTTGACTTCTTGAATTTTTCCCACGCTGCTTTAGCAAAGGGTTGAAATCTGCACATTAGTTTCAAGCAAATTGATATAGCAGTCATAAACAATTATAAAAAGTGGTTTATAATATTAAGCTCTAGAACCTGTTTCTAAATTATATGTTTCTTTTTATTAATAGATAAAATGGAATTTAGCATGCCAGGCACTCAGCTCAGAAAATAAATAAAAAATACTTATCTTTGCAGGATAGTGTTCCATTTTTGTTGTAGTGACCACTTTTCACATGAGCGCCTCTGAAAATAAATCTTGTTCACCACCCTTCAAAGGCATTTATTCTATCTGTATATGTTTACTGCGTGCTGACTAGTGTTTGCTTGTTTTACATACTCTAAATGTCAGCATGTTCTAAGCAAGAAAATAAGCCTTATTTATTTAAATAATATTTAAAGATAAACAAGGTCTTCAGTTACATGACTGTTTCTCTCTGTTCCTCTATCTTAAACCAAAACGATTGAAGTGCATAGGATAACCTGTTCAACTGAATGTGTGCATAGGCATTGAGTTGTTTCAGGTGATAGAATAAAACGTTCACTGTAAAGTGGCTGTGTACGTGATACTGGTGATGCATTTTTTCATTTTATTTTTGGTGAGTGTTGAAAGAGTTGGTGAGGGTATAGGAACATTTGGGGGGCTGGTGTGATGAGTTTTGAGGAAAGGGCAAGAGTACGTGGGGAAGGGAGGGCCATACAGGAAGGTGGGACTCTGATGGTACTGGTTTAGCTGCCCAGAACTGCTGTGAAGCCCTCACTCTTGGAGTAGGGCTGACAAAATTAATCTGTGCCTCAATATGTAGGAATTCTTCTTTTTCTTTTTTTTTTTAAATCTTTTTTACTTTTTTAAAACTTTTTTTTTACTAATGGTTTTGTCATTTATTGACATACACATGAAAATCAAGAGCACTCTGGGTGTATTTTAGAAAAGGTACCAAGTTTGATAGCTTCAGAAGAGAGAGCTTTTTTTTCTTCCATCCCTGCTCCTCTTTGGGCTCTTAGTTCAGTCTTAAGTCTCACCACCACACACTGAAACACCTCGGTGTTCCCCCCCCTGCCCCCCCATAGTCCCTTGCATCTTCCTCCTCCTCTCCTCCTTTGCCCTCAGGTATCTTTCAGCTTTGGAGGACAAGAAGCTATTTCTTTGCAGATCATTCTTGGTGCTGATAGTGCTCTTCTGAGGTCTGCACAACCTACTGAGGTTTTCATAAAACAAAATATGTTTTTGGGCCGTCACTGCTTTGTCACTTTTGAGTTATGCTTGCTAGTTGGATCAAGGTAATTTGGGACACACACACACATAAAATTGAAAAATTAACAGCATTGAATGTTCAGTCTTTTTTAAAGTTGGCTAAAGAGTTGAAGAGGGTTGAGAGGTGTCTGTCTGCTACAAGGAGGGGAGAAAAAAAAATGGATTGAAACTTGCTAGCTGTTAGCATAAGCTGTTGGAGATATAAACCGATAGAACAGATGAGGAAATTGGTACTTTGAAAGCTGAATGTTGTGACTTCTGTTTGGTTGGGTCTTATGGTATTTCAGAAAGTCTTCTGTTACTTTAATGCAAATTTTAAAGCAGAAAAAGACAACTTAGATTGTCACTTGCAATTTTTTAATACAACTTAAGATTTTGCATTTGAAAAATAATTATTTTTATTATGAAACTTTCTGTTACATATTACTACTTCTAAATTATTTTGTTATATTCAGCTTTCTAGGCTAAAACGCGAATTGGCACAGATGAAGCAGGAGCTGCAATATAAGGAAAAAGGAGTGGAAACTCTGCAAGAGTAAGTTAAGAGCTTGTGGGAGGATTTTTTTTTTTCTTCTTTCCTTTATTCGCTTTGGAATTAATTTCTTAGAAAAGCATCACTAAAAAAAAAAGTTAAAACCTCTTAATTGCTTTGCTTCAGAGTTTCTCCTATGATAGTGATGCGGGGTGAGAACAGTGTGAAATGACGGAAGAAAGATTGGACAGAATTGGTTGGACTGGTGATTTCATAGACCCACATGTGAAAACAGTTTTATAGGCCCTGTTCTTTAACTATTCCTGAAGATGTTGTTAAGGTGGAGTTAGATTTTTAAAATGTTTTCCAAACATTTTCTGGAGATACCTACTGCCTGGAGCACAATCTGAAGCCCCATGCAGTAGAGTAGTTTTCCTGTGAACAGTACCAAGGCTTTCTGGCTGGGCACAGTACTTCTCCTGGGAGGGGAGGCTGTACACAACACTGCTTCTTCCTTTTACCTGACGGTCAGGCCATCTCATTCTGCACGGTATAGCCGATTTGCGTGTGTACTGTAAAGCTCATGGTCTGTGAGACCTTGGATTTTGTTGCATGTGTGCAGAATGAGTGCATGTAAATGTGACTCCTTGTCTCCTCCCTGTGAGGAAAGGTAGCTCAGGGCAATTTACCACTGCTTGCAGGGCTATTAAGCAGCCTGTGCTCTGTTTCCTTTGTGCTCAGTGGTGGCAAAGATTGTGAACTGTTGTGGTGACCCTCTCCCTGCCACTCTTCCTGCAGGCCATCAGATGGGAACTGAGTGACTTCCATCTGTGTGCTGCTTGGTCATCTATACACATAGCACATATGTGGGGTGCCCAGCGGGACAGGGAGGGAGGTTGCCAGGCCATGGAAAAGATGGCAGGTAAACATAGGTTGTTGTGACTTCCAGATCTGTTCAACAAGGCCAGGGGCTAGACCATATGTGGAACAGCTCTTGGATTTGCCTTGAACATGTGGCAATGCATTTAGAGATCTTGGCCTTTTTTCCAGCATGCATGGGAACGAACTGCCTAATGCAGGCGCTTCCCGAAAACATTGGAACTGTGCATGTCTGATGCGTTTTGCAGCGTAAGTACAGTATCTGTGGAAATATTTTGAAGCTTTGGATTTATTGCATTAGTACTACAAAGCATGGGCGGACACTTTTGCTTCAGGAATTCTGGCAAAGTTCCAGGGATCCTGGAGCAATTAGGTTACTTATTTTCCAGCTTTGATTTTGATTGGTGTTACATTAACAAAACGATATAAAGGGAGATACTGAGATTTTAGTTTTAAAGGAGAGGGAGTAGCCCGTGCGCTTCATATTGTTTGTTTTGGTTTTTTAAAGCGTACAAGTTTCTTTTGTTTTATAATGCATTTTAAAAGCTTCAGAGAAGAAAACTTGTTCAACCAAAATCCTTCATTGGCAGTTACAATGTAATCATTTTCAGGCATAAATGTATTTTTATTGGCTACATGAAGCATTTACAGGTAGTTAGGGGAATTGTTAATGTATGATTTTAACTGAAAATTAGTAAAATGAAGCACTCAGTGTATTGAAAATGCAAATATTTTAAGTATAGTCAAAGTTTTAGGATGGTGGCCTAGATATGTAAGCAGTAACAGAACAAAAGCAATTTTGTCCTAAGATTCTTAATCATATTTTCTTTAAGTGAGTAAGAATTGCCTTGCCTCTTCTAGTCTCTTCATTTGTTTTCCTTCTCCTGGTTATTGGGTTATTTTAAGGGTATAGGTTCAGTCGTTTTGTAAAAGGACTAACCACTTGACTAGGATGATGAAAGTATTTGAAGGCTATTTGAAACTCAAGATTGTTTTAATAAATATAATTCATTTAAGATAGTCCAGCAAAGTAGTGCAACTTTTTGAAAAGTAAAGTCTGCGAATGATTAAGAATACAAATGTTAGTCTTGGATTTTAGCCCAAGTGAAGTTGCCCATACTCCAGGATGGGGGGCGGGGAGGTATAGGGGAGACATTCAAGAGAGGAATTATTTTAAAGCATATCTGATTAGTCAGTGGTCACTCTAATCATCTAGTTTAAAAGTTCAAGCATGACAACTCAGTGCTTTGGTGTTACTCACTGCTGCTGTTGCTACAGTCACTCTCTGTCCCGTTGGTGCGCTGGGTGGCATTTCTTCTTGCTTGCTTGAAGCTGGGGAGAACGTTTTGCCCATGCATTTTCTGGGATCGCAGTGAATTTCTGTCCCTGTTTGTGCCTTGTGAGCTCAGCGCTCTGCAGTGACTTCTTCACTTGTGAACCACAAGCCTGTGAGTTTGTTTTTGTTTTGTGTTTTTAAGTAATTTTTTAAATTGCCTTTCTGATGAGGTACGTGCTTTCTTTTGAAGCATTTTGATTCTAGTAGGAAATGAGCCAATTTGGAGAAGTTTCTCTAGCCTCCTTGTGTAGTCAGCAGACAAACCAGACTAAAAGCCTAAGTGTGCTCTAAGTTGTCCCTGGGGGATCTCTCCCCTACCCCTTGTGTTTGTTGGGAGAGAAGGGTCACTCAAGTCAAGTGCCAAAGCTGAAGTATTTTAGTTTTTGAATATCCACAAATTAAGTGTATTGTTGAAAAAGCAGCTCATTGCTCCTCCTTTAAAACAAAAATGCTGTGGGGTTTGTTTTTTTTTTTTTTTTAAGTTTCTTACATCTCAGACATTTCCCCCTTTTGTTTCCTTTTCTAAATTTTTGGTCTGCATAATTTTTCTTCCTTCTTGTGATAGGTCAAATCTTCAAGTAACTGCCAACGTGAGAATGGCGTGCATCCTGTTCAGCTTTTTTAAAGCCATGTTCTTCGCTTTATTTCAAGTATAAGCCAAGAACAATATTAGGAGCTGTTGCGCTTTGGGCTTTACATCTGGCTGAATGTTTGCTTTGAAAATCTGACCTGGATGGCATTATGAGCAGGTATCAGAACCTGCTGCTGTGCGACCTCCTGTGCAACCTCTGCTGGGTACAGCTCTCAGAGAAGAGACAAATTTTGTGGTGAGGGTCGTCAGGTTGCTCAGTATTTCCATCGTTTTATGTTGCTGCCTGATTCAGATGCCTTTGTTAAATGCAAATCTCTTGCATTGACATTTTCCACGTACAGTGTCTGCCTTGGACTGTGTTTTGTTTTCTGTTCTTTTTAATTTTAGTAAAATGGCTCGGCCATCTTTGAGGAGAATAAAAAAAAAAAACCAACACCCAAACCACAAACAACTAGAGAAAAGTGGGGGTTTGTGGGGGGAGAGAGGATTGAGGTTTTTTTAATACCTCTGCAACTCCAATACAGTCAGAATTTCAAACTTTGTATTGCTGCAGCTTTTTATTAGGGCTGTATTTTCTACAATTTCATCCAAATTTGGCAATGTTGCAGTAAGCCTTTGGACATCACAGTCTGTCTTTGCCCACTGGCGACTTTCTAGAGCTCACCGTTTAAAGCCTGCAGAGAACCCACCCTGCACGACCATGTTCCTCGGCCTCTGTGGGCATCTTTGCCCTGAGGTGCAGCTGATGCTGTCACAGTCCAGAGTTACAGGGTTAAAGATGAGCCTTTCCTGGAACAAACTCCTTCCTCTGACCCGATGGCAGGGACTGAGAACAAGGAGCAGTTCCTCCTCTCCTGTGTTTTCAGTGACCCTTCTGCTCGCCGGCAGGAATTCTGGAGGAAGAAGGCGTTTAGCAACAAAGGAAATGAAAACTCGGCCAGTTGGCCATGAGAGCGGAGTGAACACTGAAAGAAGTTGGGAGAGACAGGGAGTCAGGACTGACTCAACAATTTGTAGCTACAGGCTCATTTAGAGGATATGAGACCTGACAGAAGCTTTAAAATTAGGTTTTAACTCAACTACAGACCTGTGCTTTGGTGAGGCTGCCGGGAGTCTTGCGTATTTGAAACCATGTGGAGGACAATAGAGGAATGTGGAAACTACCCTGTAGGACTGAAACTATTGCAAGTGTATTAATAGTCTGTGTATCCTAGAAACATCTTCCTCAGAAAATGTACACTTCATTCATAGTTTTGTGTATTAGTTGAATGTTCTTTCTGTTCATACAAAGGTCTGATCTGTCTTTGTATTTTGCTATTTTCCATTAATAAAATGGAAGATTCCTATTAATTTTGTGGCTTTCAGAACTAGAAGTCTGTGAAAGGAGGGAAAAAGAAGATTAACAGACAATAAATAACAAGTAATTTTGTAAGATACTTAAGCCGATTTGGGTTGACAGCAATACTGATTTAAGCACATATTTCTGGCAGTAGAAACTTTTCTGATTCTTTCCTTAAACAAATATCAATTCATAAGTGGGGCTCCAAAGTGAGGTCCAGGAGCCTGAATGTGTGGGTAACCGGACAAAAATCTGGTTGAAATTAAATTATTTCCTTTTCCTGAAATGCCACCTTGGACCTGGCAAACAGTATAATGAGCAGTTGTGTAGGAGGCATTTTTGGGTCTGTGTGGAACCTATGTTCTTAAACATTAAGGTAACCTTCAGATAAAACCACATTATCTTTTTCATGTAACTTTTAGAGAATTGAATTAGTTGTTTTACTATGGTTTTATCTAATCTTTTCAGGATTTTAACTAAAAATTAGTAAAGACTCAAGTAAACATCTTAAAAGGAAAACAAAACCAACCAAACAAAAACCCCACCTTTAATCCACATGACATTTAAGTCCTTTCTTGTTCTTGAACCAAAAATCATAAAAGCTTATGTATTTTCTTACGCAACATGGGGAAAATTGTGTTTAAGTAGAAAGCTTGAGGTTCAGACTTACTTTGTGTTGTCTCCAAAAGCAGGAACTGTCAGTAAAAAAACAAACCAACCAAAACCGTAGAAACCCAACCTGCGTTTTTTTTTCCTAAATATTGTGAGCTGCACAATAAACCCACAGGATTTTCATTCAAGCCTTTTGGTTTTTTCATTTAATATTTTAGTTTTAAAGCAAGTAATATGCTGCAAGTGGAATTTTGCTGATTTTGTTTAGCTGACAGAACATGCTGAGCGAGTGTTGTTGATGCTCTTAGCTTAACATAATACCTACCTTGAAACTTTTAGTTATTTTCAATATCTTAAATGGAGTTTGAATATTCTTGTTATCTTTTTATAAACTGATGTCCTGTGTAATAACTGATGTATGTTTTATCTTTAATTCTGTTAACCAGAGACACCTTTTCCTGGAGGTGTTCATTCTTAGCATTGGTTTAGGGACCATTACACATAGCACCTTTTTTCTATATACACACCTTCTGTGATAGATTAACAGGAAAATTGAGGTTTTCATATCTTAACAGGGATTTAACACAAATTTCACTAATTGCTGTGGATAGCCTGTTAAGGTCCCATAGCCATTTGTTACAAATCCAAGACCAAATGGTTCTTCTAGTAAGTTCTGTAGAGTCTCTGGTCTTGTTCTTTATCTGTAAATCAAAGCCAGTTATCAAGATGATACACTGGACTAGGCTTCTGATCCTGATTTGTTGTCCTTCACTACTGCGAACTGTTGGAAAAAAAGTTGAAAACTCAGGCAGTGGATGTCCTACTTAAGAGATTTTTATGTCAAGATGGAAATATTAGTAGTGCTTCAGCCTGATGTAGTGAGTAGACCTCTTGCTCCTTGCTCAGTTTGCATTTAGAATCTTCTGAGATGGTCACATGTGATGTTCCTTAGTGCGGGACGATGATATCTTCTAGAAAAGATACTCAAAGATGGCCATAATGGCAGGAAAGCATTTGCAATAAAATTTTAGGAATTAAAAATTTCTTCCCAAGAAAATGAAATGCCTCTGTTAGACACTTCTAAAGCAAGATCGGGTAAAAGTCCTGGAAGAGATGTTGCAATGTGTAGTGCTGCATGGAAAATGCAACAGCTAGACTGCTAACATCTCTATCTTTTGAGTTATTACGATGTAGGTTAGTTTTAGGTTGATTTTACTTTTGTTGTGTGAAATAGCCCACGGACTTTGCCTGTAAGCAAGCTCTGTATTAGGACATTAAAACGAAGAAATTTGTTGGTTCTGCAGAACCTGGGTAGATAATTGCATTACTTTGTCTTTAGAGTGTACTTGGCACTGAGTGCTCTGTTAATTCCAAGTAGAATATCATTTCATTCCTGGAAATAAAGTGGTACGTGAATAAACAAGAGATCTTAAAATGTGTATGTGCTTTCTAATTATGTGAAAATTCCTGAATTTGTCTTAATCTTTTCAACAGGATTGACCGTAAGATGTCAAGTGCTCATACAAATTATAGACTGGATGAGGCACAAGCTATAATGAGTGAGCTTCGAACCATAAAGAAAGCTATATGCACAGGTGAAAAAGAAAGGCAGGACCTTATGCAGGTAAAAAATATGTTACTGAACAAATAGCTGCTAAAAATTAATAACCTACCTTTATTTTCTTGTTTGTGATTGCATTGGGGTTACCAAGTTTAAATAAGGAAGTGGGGTGGCCTAAACTGATTTTTCTGTTTGATAATTGCCTATAGCAGGCAACTCGAAAGAGGTTAGTAGTCATTGTCTATACTGTGAACACAAGACTTCATATGCGTTTCATATTTTTGTCTTAGATAATGTACTATCCTTACATTTAGATCAGTATCTTTATTGAATATAGCTTTCCATTGCTGCTGACTGTATCAAAACCTGCTATGGAGTACGTAGGCTGCATTAAAAAAAAAGCCAAAACCAACCAACCAACCAAAACCCAAAACCTTCAAGTTCTATGGTATTTTTTTCATTTTATTTCATGTTTCTTTGTATTATCTATACTGAAGTAGGACCAACAGTTCACTTGCTAAAATGTTTACCAGTTTGTCTATCATGTTTTTGCTTTTATAAGTATTTTCTTAAGTATCCATATCAAGACACATACTAATTTCAGATGTTCTCACAAAACCCTCAAAGAGTATGATTAAATACAATGCCTACAGAAACCATCATGCAAACTTTATTTTATGAATGAGAGCCTGAGGACTGAGGGGACATACATGCCTTGAGCAGTGATATAACTTTTGAATAGATTCTGCATCCTGCTCTGAGCTCTCAGTTGCTGTGTCTGCGTCATTAATGTGATAGGAGCTTGATCAAAGAGCCACAAGCCTCTGCCACCACAGGGACTTCAGCGTAGACTTATCCAAATATGCTGCAGATACAGAGGGGTGACAAAGACAATTATCTTCACGCGGTCTTCAAACTTCTTTATGGAAAAAGGCATCTTTGTTACCTAAATTTTTGGGACCATACTAAGTTAATATTGCCATTTGAACATTTTCTTTCTGTTTTCTCTGCAGTACTGTTTCGCTGGTATTTTATTATTATTATTATTGTTAAATGATATGGGTAGCTTGTAATCTACATATAATGGATTTCCATAGTTATACAGTTATTCAGTCTCCAAAGCATTACCCAAAGGTCAGCTGATGGACCACAAATCCTTGTTCAAGTAGACAGAACACTTAAGTCACTATGAAAAGTTTCTGCCTTGGCAACTTTTAACATATTTGATATTTTGTGTTGGCCAAGTTTTAAAGTGATTCTCAGTCTTCCACATGCCTGGCTAGCAAGAAATGATTAGGAAGGCAGTTCTTCATGGGTGCAGTGACGCACATTTTAGGAAACTAAGTGGTAATTTAAAGACTTGTGTGTGAGATCTTGGAGCAGCTTAACTACTGGCCTTG